GCTTGGAGCAACCTGGGCTAGTGGAAGGTGTCCCTGCCCATGGAAAGGGATGGGGTTTAAGGTCCCTTGCAACCCAAACCATTCTGGGATTCTGTTATTTCCCTTTTCCATCCCAAAAGGCCTAAAATAAGCTCCTAGAGCACTTACTGGCAACAGACTGGTCAAACTCATAGGGCCCAGTGATGAAGTGGGGCAGGGACATGAGGAACCCGGCCAGGGACACGAGCAGGGCGCCGGCGCCGATGAACCGGGGCCTGTGCACTCGGCTCCCGAAGTAACTGATGAAGACAATCAGCAGCGTGTTCCCCACCTGCAGCAGGACACAGAGAGCCAAAGGTCTCGCAGGGGAACACGAGGAGCATGGGGAGAGCAGGAGCAGAAAGCTGGTTTCACCTCGTTGAAGGAAGCGAGCAGCCCTGACGTCCGGCTGGAAAGGCCATACCGTCTCTCGATGGTGGAGATGGAGCTCTTCAGGTACCCGGAGACCAGGAGCTGGGAGAGCTGCAGCAGCCCGTGGCAGAACACAAAGAACTGCCAACAAAAAAGAGAGCATCCAGTTACTGAGAGCTGCAGCACAACAAACTGCATCTCCAGAGAAAGGCACAGTTATTGAACATAAACCTTTGACCATGAGCCTTTGAAATATTATCCTTGCTCTGCCATCAGTGAAATCTTCTGAAATTAATAGAGACATGAAATAGTGCTCTACCAAAAATAACAACAGGGTCACTATCTGCAAGGAGGGTGTAATTTCTTCAGATGAAAAGTGGCTTTGGACAAACACGTTGTCTCAGTTGGGATGATGCTTGTTTGTGTTGGCCTTGTCTCTAAGATCCAGAAGCAGAAGTGGGAGGTTGCACAATTCCTGTTCCCATCCAGCCAGGGGCAGCAGCCATCCCCAGTGCTGGGAGCAATTCTGGGACAGGAACAAGCCCTTCTAAACACAGCAACAAACAACTTCTTCAGAGAAAACCAGGAGAAGGTCAGGGAGAATAATTCAGGCTGTTTTCCTTTCCTTCTTAAAAAGCCCTGGATGTAAAGGACATGTCCTTTGGAAAATGTGAGGGTTCTTTTCCACTTCCAGAAGGAAACCTTGCCAAAGTCCATCCTCTCCCAGAAGATAATCTGACCTCATCTCCTCCAGAGTTTGGGGTGTGCAGGTGCTGGGCTGCCCAGGGGAACATGTGGCTCAAGTTGCCCCACAGAGAACAGAGTCTATCTCCCTGGTCCTCTCACAGAAGCATTTCCAAGTGCCAAGTGACTGTCCAAGGAGGGAAGGGGAGGGATGGACCTCCCCTTTATCCACAGCTCTGCAAAGTACTCAGCAAAGGAAAGGAGCTGGCAAGTCATCTCCTTCCCCACATGGCTCTCCACAGGCATCCTTCCAGTGCCCAAAGGAGGCAAAAAACTGCCCAGCCCAAACATTCCACATTCCCTAAGGAGGTGGACCATCCATCACTGCAGGACAGGCTGGATGCCTCTTCTGGGTCCTTCCAGAGCTGCTGCCTCAGCTTTGGATGATGACCAAACCCTCAGGGCACTGCTTTTTGCAGATCTTTACTCTCTTGGTGACCAGAGCAGGGCACTGCTCCAGCTCTGAGGATTTTGCAGCTCCCACCATGGAGCAGCCTCACCTAGAGGAGCTGCTCAGCCTGGCCTGGGTTTCTGCCACATCTCCTTCTGATCTAGGGCTAGAGTGGGATCACTGCCAAACTGGGCTGCTCTGTCAGCCAGGGGAGTATTTACAGCACAGAAGGGGACAAAGCCCCCCCTGGGTCACTGAGAACTGCAGTGCTGGGGTTACCAGCACCCAAAGTGATGGGTGGGTATCATGCAAACCAGGATATAATCCAGGACCTCCCCCCTTCCAGGCTCATGTCACCACTGATGGGTGCAACGTGTGCGGACCAGGAAAATGTCACCCAGCCAAAGGAAAGCTTCCCCATAGCCAGCTTTGCCAAAACTCCTATATTCCTACGAGACACTGGCTTTGTCCAGGCTCTGTTTCCTGAATACATGAGGTCAGAATGGAAAGGTTGAAGCCAGATTCATTTATTCCAGACATCCACAGCACACAGCCCAATGCGTATCCAAATCCAGGACCTTCAAATCATGCTGGTTTACATCAGCCCAGCAGCTGCCCACCACTGCCCCACATCCTCTGCAGCTCAGGAGGTCAAAAGGGGTTGGGAATCTGGTGTTTTATCCTCTCATCTAGGCAGAGTAAAGCACAGAAAAGAGAGAGGGCCCTGCAGTGGGTTGGGGTCAGCACCAGGCAAGGCCCCCAGTTCTGGCTCCAGGGGCTGTTTGCTGTCAGCCATCAGACCACAGCACAGCTACTCTTCTGCCAGGGAAAGAAAGGACAGACTCGTGGACTTTAGGTCTGCTGGACTGGTGGAGCTGGCCTGGGTCTGATGGGCTGCCCCAGCAGCTGACCTGGGTCTGCAAGCACCAGCCTTTTCCCACGTGCTGTGTCCTCACAGCACAACAAATCCAGGAGCAGCCCCAGAGCTGGGTGTTCCCAGAAACAACCCCAAGTTCAGCTGTGTGGCACCTGTTTCCCATGGAAAGGCCAGGACATGCTTGTAACATCTCCCCTCTACATCAGCAGAATTAAAACAACTTGGAGAATCCACAGGAGCACTTCCGTAGGCTGAGGAGGAAGGAAGGGAGAGGTTTTGCAATGGCTTTTTTAAATAAACATCTGTGAAGCATTAATAGAAGAGCCTGTGTTGAGGTAACACCAAACACCTGAACCAAGGACAGGGGGTGCTTGGTACCAAAAATAATCCCCTTGCAGTGCCAGGGTGCAGAGCAACCTCCTCCATTGTCCACACCCTCCACAACCAGCTCTGGGAAAAGTGCATTTCTGCTCTGCTACACGTCTAAGGAGGAGCTTCTCTGATCAGATTTGCTGCTTTTCTACTTTTCTAGATAATGTTTCATGTATCCTTGCTGGCTTTGCTCTGCTAAGCCTTGCACCACGTTGCTGAGGTGTTGCTGCTCCCACCCCACACGTGTTAAGAGAACAGAGAAACACACTCCATCCAACGCAGCCAGGAAACTGCAGACCTGGGGACTAAATACCAACATCTCCTCTCTCTTGGTGGTCCAAAAAAAACCTTTCTACGAAGGTTACATGTGTTTCCAGGGTTGGTTGTGCGGTTTGGCAACAAATCATCCCAGTGAGGGCTCTGAAAGCTGCACACACTGTCCTGCCCCAGCTGACACAGGGAAGTCCCTGTCACGCTGTTTCCATGTGTTTGGGAGACTTTGGCTGCTATTTTAAGGAAGGGTTTTGTGCCTTAGCACATGGTAAACCCCTGTGCACTGTGCTGTGCTTACAGAAAATGGGGCTGGGAGGAACCAGCCTGTTCCAGTTTAATCCAAACCAGCTTGGTTGGGTGTGTAGTTGGAAGCGACCTTAAAGATCATCCACTTCTAATCCCTGGAGACTTTCCACTAGCCCAGATTGCTCCAAGCCTCATCCAGCCTGGTTTTGGACACTTCCAGGGATGGGGCAGACACAGCTTCTCTGGGCAACCTGTGCCAGGGCCTCACCACCCCCACAGCCAATTCCTTCCCAACATCTTATCTAAATTTTAATGCTCCTTGAAGCCAAAACAAGCCAGTTTTTAGTTATGCCCTTCAATTGCCTTTTGACACGTGGCAACTAGTTTTTTGTGACACACTCTCTGGAGATATAAATACATATACAAACTGCAGTGCTGTGATTTTTGGCCCTCCAGCCACTTCAAACACATAAACCACATTGTGCAATGGTTTTGTGTTTCTGCAAGAGCCATTGAAACCCTGCACTGGAAGTTTTGTTTTCTGAGGAAGTCATTTAGAAACCGGACAGGGTGACCTAAGTTCTTGAAAAAAACCCAAGAGATCTGGGGAAAACATCCTGTGCTGAGCATAATTGTGTGAGGATAATGCATGGTCAGCTCTGCCTTGGGGGTGAAAACAAGTCTCACTTAAGAGACATTTTAAGCCTTTAACACCAGCTGTCATCTTTTGCTCTACAGGCTGGTGACACTCTCTAACGAGCCAGGTAATTGGCTCCAACTACACTGAATGTACCAGTTAATTAATGTTGTTAATTACTGATAAATGCAATTATTGAGCCAAAAGGGAACAAAGCAGATGCTGCAGCACAGGAGGAGCCACCCCAGGTCCAGCCTGTAGTTCTGCAGAGCTCTTCAAACACTCACCTGGAAGACCTGAGGTTGCACTGAGTCCAGGAGGGCATAACACTTTGAAGAATGGTTTCCATCTGGCACAGGGCAGGGTTAGATGGGATACTGGGAAGGAATTCTTGGCTGTGAGGGTGGGGAGGCCCTGGCACAGATTGCCCAGAGAAGCTGTGGCTGCCCCATCCCTGGAAGTGTCCAAGGCCAGGTTGGAGCAACCTGGGCTAGTGGAAGGTGTCCCTGTCCATAAAGATCAGCTTTAAGGTCCCACCCAACCCAAATCATTCTGTGATTCCATGAAGTTCTGCAGAACCTGGAAGTTAAATATGCATTTCAGCCTTGCTGTCCCACCACTTGCTCTTGGATGGAGACGGTTCCACCTCAAACGGTGCTTCTGCCACAAGCACATGGAAAGCCAACGGAAGCACATGGAAAACTTTCCAAATACACTTGGTAATCAGGAACCCTCTCAATGCCTTCTGCAGAAAACCAAACTCCTCTTTGCCAGGCCAGTGATCCAAGGGGGTATTGCAGAAAGCAGGATAATTACAGGAAGCACATTTACCTTGATGCTGAGGAACGGGCTCCCGCAGAGTGTTTTCCGCGTCGGATCCGCGTAGCTGCTCTGCGTAGCTGTGCTTGTCATCCTGCCAGGCCTGCCAAAATAAATCAGCCAGCACAATGCTCAGTTCCTCTGCCTGAATTGCCCTTGCTCAGCACGGCAAGATGTTGTTGTGCTCTGTGAACACCCACACAACGAGCACAAGAAAGTACTAATTATTCCTGGGTTTCATTCTCTCGGAGCACTTTGCTCCCGCAAAGCAACAAAGCAGCCCTGCAAAACATTGATCACCAGGAGGCCTGGGAGTTTACATGCTGTGCCACAGAACCAAGGACAATGTGTATAAACATTATCTGGGATAATCTGACATCCTTATCGATGACCTGGGTGAGGGGGCAGAGTGCAGATGGCAGAAGAAAAAAAGACTGGGAGGAGCAACTGGCAAAGCTGATGGTTGTGCTGCCATCCAGAGGGACCTCAACAGGCTGGAGAAATGGGCACTGGGGGATCTCAGTGGGCTGGAGAAAGGGGAATCCAGAGAGATCTCAAAGGGATGGAGAAACGGACACTGAGGGACCTTAACGGGCTGGAAAAATGGGCATCCAGAGGGATCTCAAAGGGAGGGAGAAACGGGCACTGAGGGAGCAAATGGGCTGGAGAAACAGGCATCCAAGGGGAAAAGGGCATTGAGGGATGCAAATGGGCTGGAGAAACGGGCACCTAAATTTAACAGTGGAAAGAAAGAGGGTGGGAAGCCACCCCACCCCCCTCCCTGCACTGTTTACCTCCTTCCCTTCTCTCTGAACCCCCACTCCTTCTTTCCTGAGTGGCCCATGATGTCTGTTGGGATTTTAGGCTTCCCACTCAGGAAGCTGCATTGTTTGGAGGCACGCTGAAGCCATTAGGCTTTAAATTCAGCACACTGTAATAGATGTTTTCATCTCTGCAAGCGCCAAGGCAAATGGGGTGAAAGGCTTTCCATTATTATTTCGTGTAATTCCATTTCCCCCATGATGGGAAGCAAAGGAGCGAGGACCCGTAGCCTCAAACAAATTAAAAAATGCAGGGGTTGATGTAAATTCTAGCAGGAGGAGACTGTCTTAACTGTGGTGTTTATAAACCCTTAAGCACAGCGCACAGGAGAGGTAAATTCCAGAGGGGCCCTGCTCATCCCTGAGTTACAAGCTCCACAGCATCTTCGGCAAAAAGCAATTGCTGCCCTCAGCCCGATTTCCAGAGATATTGCTGCAACAAAATCCGGGGTGAGATCAATAAAGTAAATTTGATCATAAATTAAAGCAGCCACAAAAAGCTCTCCTGAACCTCTGGAGGGTTCAGCAGTGCTGGAGCAAAAGCACCTGCCTGTCTCCAGCCCACGGGGTCTGATATCCTGACTCTGGAGCAGGGCTGGGAGGAATTATTTACAGCCACTGAGCCCCTTGAAAGCTCAGGGGTGACACAGTGGGGAAGAAAAGGGTGGAAAACCACAGGGAGGAAACCAAGAGGAGCCTAAGCCTAGACTTCCACGTTCATGGAGTTGGGAACCACTGTAGGATTAATGCCCTGGTTTAACTGTGTTAATGGCTTTGCCAGCCCTCCTCACCAAACATGCATTTAGTTAGACCTGCAAACCACAAATCCCACGGGGTGTTGGGAGTATTTTAGTCCTCCTGCCCATCCTTTCCAGGCCCTGCTTTAAATGTGTGCATCCTTTAACCAATCCTTTAACACTGGGATTAGTCCAAGCTCTTCCATAATCAGCTTTCAGAGTCTTCTTGGGAGAAGAAAATGCTAGAAAGCACCAGTAGAAACGTTTTCACTAATCCCTGCCCAAGCAGGGGGTAAAAGCCCCTCACCCTTTGCTGTGCACCAGAATGTCCCCAAATTTCCCACACTGCTCTGGAGGAACTCAGTTCTTCTTTCCCCAGGGATGACCTTTGGATTAATGACAACCTGCACCACCTGTCAGCAGCCAAGGAGGCACAGCCAGGTCTGGCTCCATCCCACCATCCACACCTTCACCTCACTCCAGTGAGTTGTCCTGCTCCCATATTACCTGTGGAAGAGGGAATGTGGCTGAGCCCCGAGGGGAAAAGCTCAGCAGGGATCTCAAATGCTGCAGAGCTTTGCCAGCAGTTCAGAACGAGAATAAACCTATTAAATCTATTCATCCACAACACTCCTTAAAGAACAGGAGGAAAAGTACTTTGATCCAGCACAGAGGACAACGAGCAGATCAAACAAAAAGCCAGATAAGATTTAATTGATTTTAAAAAAAAAATTGCATGAAGAGAGCAGCACACTCAGGTCAGTCTGAGTTCCCTGTGGCTGGATCGAGCCCAGATGTGGCAGCACCCTCTGGGAATGGCATTGGCTTGGCAAGAGCCACGTTTTTCTCCATCTCTGGATGGAAAGAAGGATTATTTTCGTTCAATACAATTTCTCCCAGGTAAGGTCAAGAGATGTGAGTGAATCTGCTCCTCTGCAGGAAGGAGGCAGAACAGGATTAGTGCTGTGGGCTGGGGAAGGAGGAAAAGGAGGGACGAGATGGCAAATCCCAGAAGATATCCTCAGGTCAGAGGAAGGAGAGAGCAGAAAGAGCAAAACCAGGTGACTGGGGGGGACACACCTGCCTGTATCAGATCTGCAGCCCTCAGCTCCCTGATGGCCCAGGTGTCCTCCAACACTCTAAAAAGGAAGATACACAGTGGGAATTGCTCTTCCTGCCTTTCTCCAGGCATCCCAGCATGTTTGCCATGGAGCATGGGAAAAGGTGAGAAATAGCCAATCCCAGAGTGACATCCCTGGATTCCAGAGACCCTGACCCAGACACACTCCCAGACCTGCCCTGCAGGATCAGGACCAACAGCAGCCACTTCCCATCCTCAGCTCCACAGCCAGCTACTTCCCATCTTTGTGCCTCAGCTTCCCCAGGAACAAGTCAGGGAATAGATCTGAGCCCATCGACCTGTCAGAAGGGTTTGGGGAGCAGGAGGGGAACTGGGCCAGGCAGAGGCTGCGGGTTGGGACAGCAGGGACTGACTTTTCCCAAGGCTGAGGCATTTTGCAAAGCCTTTTTGGGTGTCTGAGGCACCACAAGGAGGGAGCTGGCCCTGGTCCAGGCTCTGGCAGACACAGATGGGAAAGGATATGTACATGAAGGATATTCCCTCATGTACAGGGTAGAGGTGCCACCCCAGCCCAGCCAGGTATTTCTAACACCAAACACTGCTGTCTCAGAGCGCTCAGTGGTGTCTCTCACCTCTTCTCCCACAGATCACAGGAGCGTGAAATTGGTTTTTTAGGGAGACACAGACACGGAGAGCCTGGTGCAGGGTGGGACACAGGGTGACAGGTAGGGGTGGCAGGGTCTGTGACTGACAGGTAGGGGTGGCAGGGTCTGTGACAGCCAGTGGTGTCCCTGACTCTGACACAAAGCCCTTGGAAACCAGTGCTGCACCCTGATGGAGCAGAATATTGCCTCCTTGTGCACCTGCAAGGGAACTCTCTGGTGAAATAAACTCCCATAAAACAAAGAGAGACTTTCCATGCCCACCTGGTGTGTTTGGGAGCCTGCTGGGGTGCACAGGTGGCTAGGTTTCACCAGGGGTCACCTCTGATGTTCTCACTGCAGGGGCTTGGTGGCAGCTACACACAGGCTGTGTTCAGATACCCCAGGGAAGGTGATGGATGGATGGTTGTTCAGACAGCAAAGGTGCCTGATGCTGCACATCCATCAGCTGGTGGAGAATTTGTCCTCAAACACTGTTTTCTCCCTGCTTCTGTCTTGGGTCACTGCACCCCTCAGAAAGGCAGGGCCTGGCATGACAAACCCAGGATGGAGTGGGCACAAAGAACTCAGCTTGGAGGGGCAGCAGCTCAGCCCCACACCAAGTGATGCCAGAAAACATTGCCATTAATTCCAGCCTTGCTTGCCTGACATTTCCTCACTGCTCCTGGGGACCTGCAAAGCGGCAGAGCAGGGGAATAACCCCCATCTGTGCAGAGCCTGGGGACATAAACACAGATGGAAAAGAGGGATTGGATGTAACCTCAGTCCAACCACCCACCACCACCCTGGTACCCCTCCCAGCAGGGCTTTTCCAGATGTATATCAAAAAAGTTATGCTGAAAAAAATTATGTCAAAAGCAAAAGTAACGTTATGGAAGAGCAGAGAGAGAGGACTGATGAAAGATCACAGAATTCCACATTGGTTTGGGCTGGAAGGGACCTGAAAGCCCACCCAGTTCCACCCCCTGCCATGGGCAGGGACACCTTCCACTAGCCCAGGTTGCTCCAAGCCCTGTCCAACCTGGCCTTGGACACTTCCAGGGATCCAGGGGCAGCCACAGCTTCTCTGGGCAACCTGTGCCAGGGCCTCCCCACCCTCATAGGGAAGGATTTCTTCCCAATATCCCCTCTAACCCTGCCCTCTGGCAGTGGGAAGCCATTCCCCCTTGTCCAGTCACTCCATGCCCATATCTGAGATAATCTCACAGACCTTTGCAGCACAGATTAAGATGCTCCACTTCTCCCCACGCTGCCCTTTCCTTGACACCGGGGCAGCAGAAATCCCTCCAAACCTCTCCCAGCTTCTCTGGGACCTGCACAATAGTCCTGGCTGCCACAGCAGGGGACCAGGCTCGGTGCCACCAGCATCCTGTCCCATTCCAAGGACATCAATCTATCCAATGGCTTTATTAATGGCAGCTCCTGCGAGCTGAGCAAGGAAAAGCACCCGCTGGGCTCAGCGGAGCACGAGTAAATAACAGTGAATGTAACACAGCAAATTAAATCCCAGCAGGGGAGTTGAAATGCCAGCAAATATTCCCTAATCTGTCTTCCTTCTGCAGGATAATTTTCATTCACTGGCAGTAAAGCTGAGATGGCGTCAGTGTGTGTATTTATGAGTGTGCCTGTGTTAAAGGGGAAGCTGGTTTGGAAAATGTGGGGGCAAAGATGACTGATAACACAACAGGAGGAAAGAACAGTGGATACTCATCATGCCCTCCCAGGAAAAGACTGAGGAAGGAAAAAAGGGATGCGTAGATGTGCTCAAAAAGCTGCTTCTGTCTTGAACCAACTGGCAAAAAGAAAGTGAAAATGAGATTAGCCCAGCTCAGGGATTCTGTGTAAGGAGAAATGGCCTGCGATGACACATCCCAGAAACCCTAGAAGAAGTTAGACACAAAGAAAAATGTTACTTCAATTTAAAAGATTAGAAGAAAGAGGAAAATTAGTGTTGAAACCCATGGCATGCAAACAGAGGCCATGAGGGAGAGGCTTCAGCTCTGCTCTGGCACAGGGCAGGACTGGCTGCTCTCCAGAGGTCCCTGCCAGCCCTGACCCCCATGACTTGGGAAGGATGAAACCCTCCTCCCCATTTCTGTGACAAGGTCCCACAGAGCTCCCCCCCTCCTTGGCACACCCTGCCAGGTGCTGGAGCCCTCCCTGGAAGGGTCCTCACCTGCTCCAGACGTGGTGAAGGAGTTGGAGCTCACCTGGTGGTACCAAAAAGAGATGGGACCTCTCACAACATCCCCTGTGGATGGGGCAGCCACAGCTTCTCTGGGCAACCTGTGCCAGGGCCTCACCACCCTCACAGCCAACAATTCCTTCCCAATATCCCCTCTAACCCTACCCTCTGGCAGTCCCTCCATCCCTTGTCCCCAGTCCCTCTCCAGCTCTCCTGGAGCCCCTTTAGGCCCTGCCAGGGGCTCTCAGCTCTCCCTGGAGCCTTCTCTTCTCCAGGTGAACCCCCCCAGCTCTCCCAGCCTGGCTCCAGAGCAGAGGGGCTCCAGCCCTGGCAGCATCTCCGGGGCCTCCTCTGGACTCTCTCCAGCAGCTCCACGTCCTTGTGCTGCTGTTCCCAGGGCTGGAGGCAGCTCTGCAGGGGGGTCTCACCTGAGGGGCAGAGGGGCAGAATTCTCCCCTGCCCTGCTGGATCAGCCCAGGGCACGGGGGGGTTCTGGATGCCAGAGCACATGGACAGGGCACATCCAGCTTTTCATCCCCCAGCACCCCCAAACCCTCCTCAGTACTGCTCTCCTTCCATTCCTGCATCCTTGCAAGGCAGTCCCATCACTGGGCTGGGGCAGCTTTTCCTTCCAGAGCATAAAGCACCCAAAAGCAGCATTGGAGAGGTTCCAGCCGAGGGAGGTGTTGTGCAGTTACATAAGCAGTGAGGCTGGGAATTGCATCATTCCGTGAATCACTTGCTCAGTTTTGCTTTCAAACACTGTCCAGGGCTATGGAGCCCTCGGGGTCTGCTCCCTCCCCACCACCCCCTGCTCAACTGCTTCTGCTGCTTCCCAGGCTTTCATGGGATGCATCCTATTCTGTGCACAAGCAGCATCCCATTAAACCTCCTGCCCTTCCTGCCCTTGTGACCCCTGGGTTAGTTTGTGCTGGCACTTGTGCTGTGTCTGAGAGCAGCTCAGCTCAGGGATGTGTGAGACATTTCCCAGGGCAGGATCTCATGGCTTTGCAGGTTTTACTCCTCCTCTGGAAGGTTTTATGCAGGATATTGAATAAAAAAGTCAGCCCTCCCTCTCCTCGTGCCAGATGCTGAACATCCTCCTGATGGGGACGGGCAGATGTGGTGAGTGCTACAGAAAAGCCATATCTGGTGTCCTCAGTGGGGATTTTCTATTTAAGTAACACCTCCTGTGTGTTTGGCAGAGAATTAGTCCCTGCCTCAAGCAGCTGAAAACCCCTGGATAGGAGTTAAAATGATGAATGAAGTATGAAGAGCCTGTTCCCCAGGAGACACCTGCCTTTCCATAGGCTGCAGACAGTGTTTGGCTCTATGGACAAACACCTGCCAATATAAGTCTGGTCCCAAACCAGAGTTTGCCTGATTTGGGGTTTTATACACCATAAATACCTTCCTGATATTTTTCTTCCTCTGTACTTTCCTGCTGCTTGGACAGGAGTGAAGATTGAGAAAAACACGGAATCTTTGCTGAGTCCTTCAGCAGAGTTGTAAGACTTGGCAGTGCCTGGAGCAGCTGGAGGAAACAGGCAGAGCCAGAGTGGCTCCAGTGAGCGACAGATGCAGCCACTCCAATGAAAAAAACCTAACTTTTAGAAGGGGAAGCTCTTGCAAAATGAAGAGCAGGAGCCACTGCAAAAGCCTCGTGCCTTGAACACAGAGCCCGAGTGAAAACCACAGCAGTTCCCTGGAGCTGAGGCTTCCTGGAGCAATCCAAAGGTTGTTTGCTGTGTATTATTTATAACTTCAAAAAAAAAAGATATCCCAACAAACCCAGTATTCTCTATCTGCACATCTGGTCTGCCCAGGGTCAGGACTTGCTCCCCAGCAAATGCTTAGTATTCCATGAGGAGCACCTACACTCCAATTCACTTGCTTCCTATCCTTTTATGTCCAGGGGACATCCAAGGGCAGCTCTTTTCTCCCTCCACACTAACCCTGAGATAAACAAGCAAAGCATCCCCAAAAGTTTGGGGGAGACTAGTAAGATTTGCTTCACCAGGAGCTGGGAATGCTGCCAGCCACCTGCACACAAGAGGGATGGATGGAAGAGTAGGAGCAGGGGAATGCTGCTGCCATGAAAGGGAACTGAGCAGAGCTTAGGAAGTGAGAAACTTCCGTAGCCAGCAAGAGAGGAGCTGCTTTCAAAGCTCAGGAGGAAACACTGTGGACAGGAGAGAACTGGTGACATTTTGGCAATGTTGGGACAAGCAGCAAAGCCCCAGTTCAGAGCAGCCATTGGAGGCTGCAGCTGGCACAGGATATTTTGGGCAGCAATGGGAATTAATTCATGTCCTTCTCCCATTATTTAAAATTAATGGACTGCAAAGTCATCTGTATCATGGAGGAATGTTGCTTCTTTTCTTTCTGCTGTCAGATGTTTCACATCCTTTGGAAGAGGCATCTCCTGCTCAGCCCGAGGGCAGTTCCAGGCTGACACATTCAGACGGGTCAAGAAAGTCCAGTGAAAATGGAGATTATTTTCTGGAAGTCCCCAGGCCTGCAGCTGGAGCCACATCTGGCCCCAGCCAAGCTGCTTGACAGCAACAAGCCCTTTCCTGCATCCCTGGGAGCGAGCCTGTCCCGGGGTTTCTCACTCTCAATTTCCCCCAGATAACATTTCAGAGCCTCGCAGCGTTTGAATCGAGTTTCAAGCCAGAAATTCCCCTCATCCCCTGCCATGTCCTACACACTGCCTCCATTTCATTAGGAAATGAACTTTTCCAAATCTTGGGGGCTAAAGATGGGTAATGAAGCTCCCAAGCCATCCCTCAAGTCCACATTTAGCCACCTCATGGCTCGAAACACTGCACATTGCATCCACCTCAATCCAGGGCACACGCGGCAGGTTCGGGATAAAACTGGGATGCGCTGCCGAGCTGCAGCACGGGGCAGACCAGCACCCCCAGTGAACCCCTGGGACCAAACTGGGAGCCAGGAAACACGGAGAAAGCGGGGTTAGGATCTATTTTTGACCAGACCAAGGTCCCACGGAGAAGCTCAGCCCCGAACACGGGGCTTGTCCCCAGGTTAAAGCCCACACCTCTCCGGAGCAGCACAACCAAGAAAGGGATGCAGCCCGGCACCGGGGGCTCTGGGCTGCTCCCAGATTCCCTGCACAGCAGCACAAAGGCTTCCCCCTTTTCCCGGACTTAACCCTTTCCTGCCCCCTGCCCCCAAATCGCTCAGAGCCAGGAGGTCACCTTTGTGGAACCACCACTGGGATCCCGCTCTGGATCACTGGGAAGTTCTGGTGGAAGGTGACCCTGCTCCGGGCACGGGGGTGGAACTGGGAGAGCTCTGAGGTCTCTCCAAACACACACCATTTCACGATTGCACTGCTGCAGAAGCCGGGGCTTGGCCAGGGTGCCCCTGAGCCGGCCCAGGCACAGGTCAGGTCCGTGCCCGCCTGGCATTTCCACAAGGTCTGGGCTGGGAAGAGGCGTTGCCATAGTAGAAGAAGCAAAACGGTACAAGAGACCCGCCGCGGCAGCCTCAGGCATCGGGAAAACTGGGAAACTCCCTGCGAAGGGAGAAATAAGTGGAGCTGCCTCACTGGGGAAAAAAAAAAAAAAGGAAAAACAAGACCCAAACACCTTAAATAAATAAGCACAGAGAGGAAGCGACAAAACACGTGCAGAAAGCCGGCAGGGAACAGGCGTGTAATCACTCCTTGTTTTTTCCCCTTCGCTTTTTAAGTTGCTGGGAAAATCCAGCTCCCGAGCCAAAGTGGCTCAAGGAGTCTTGCAAAAGAAGCCGGGGAAAAGCAGCTTGAGAAACTTCACCTTTCCCAACCCCTAAAGCCGGGAGGCAGCCCGCGAGCTCGGGACCACAGTCCTCCTCAGCATCTCCTCGCAGCGAGCAGGTGCTGCCATACTCACAATTCCAGGACTCTCCTGATCCCAATCCCACCGCGCTGGGAGCGAAAGTTTCCCTCTGCCAGCAGCTGCTGGGACCATTCACCACTTTCCCTCCCCGGGCTGGAGGTGGGAATGGGTGTGTGGAGGTGGGGCTTCGGCTGCAATCTCAAAAGCTGGAGCACGTTTCGACTGAAACTTTTGCAATCCCTTTCCAAAGGATTTCTTTTATTTTTGCTTTTGCCTTCTCCTGGAACTGCAGTCCCAAACCGGCGGAGCTGCCCGTGTGGTTTGCTGACCCAGGGCTTTGGGAGCTGCTGACGCAGTCCCAGTCCAAACTGGTCGCTCCATCCCCCGGCTCCAGTCCCGTCTCCCCTCCCCGCAAGGGTCCCGTTCCTCCAGGGCATATGCCTTGCATTCGTGTTCTTGTTCAGTTCGCTTTATCTGCATTTATTCTTGTATATTTTGAAGCTGTGCTGTAACCCTGGGGTTTGTGAAAGGGAAGCTTTCTTTATCTAACCCCGGATGGTTTATTTTTCAATGTCTCCCCAGAGCTCTCTTGCTCTGAGCACGGAGGCGTTTCCAGAGGACAAACGGGGTTCACAAGCAGGTGGCCCCAGTTAAAGCCACGAAGAAAAACCAGGATTCCTCCCTTTGGGGTTCTTCTGGTGCCTTTGGATGCCTGGGTTCTGTTTTGGGATGTGATCTGTGTGTGCCAACAGTGCCATGGATGGAGCTGGCCTCAGCCCTGGCCATCTCTGTGCTGCAGGGAGATCATACAATCATGGGCTGGTTTGGCTTTGGAGGGATCTCAGAGCTTGCCCAGTTCCACTCCTGTGCCAGGTCACCTTCCACCAGACCTTCCCAGAGATCCAGGGCAGGATCCCTGGAGGAACCAGTGGTGGTTCCTCCTGGCTCTGAGCAATTTGGGGTGCAGCGAGCGAGGAAGGGGGGAAGCCTTTGTGCTGCTGCGCAGGGAATGTGCCAACAGCCCAGGGATCATGGGCTGCATCCCTTTCTTTGCTGTGCACATTTGCTACTCTGAGGGGTGTGGGCTTAACCTGGGCACGAGGTGGAGCTGGTGTGTCCCTGAAACCAGCTTAAAGCATTGGGGGTGAGCATATTCCCCTGTCTTTCTGAAACCCTGATTTTTAAGTTCGAGGTGAGATGAAATGCTGTAAGAAGTCTGGGAGAATCTACCCTTTTCCAGTGGGAAGCCATTCCCTGTGTCCTGTCCCTCCATCCCTTGTCCCAGGTCTCTCTCCAGATCTCCTGGAGCCCCTTTAGGCACTGGAAGGGGCTCTCAGCTCTCCCTGGAGCCTTCTCTTCTCCAGGTGAACCCCCCCAGCTCTCCCAGGGCTGCCTTGAACACGGGTACCATGGGCTGTCTCAGCTGCAAACAGGTGCACAAACACAGCTCAGGTTTTCAGGAGAAATTCACACTCGGACTTCATGAAGTTGCAGCTTGGAGACCAGGACAGCTGCAAAGTCACATTTGAGGGGAATATGGAGAGACCTCAGGTGAGCTCCCTGTCCTCTTTTCATCCCAAAGAGCTCTTAGATGAAATCCCCAAATGGGATATTTTCCGACTCAGGTGCAGCAAGAACACAGAAAGGCACAGCCACTTTTCCCACCTGGCATTCCTTGTTGGGGTCTGATGGATGGGACAACCAACAGGACATGCTGGGCAGATGTTTCCCAAGGGAAGATTATCTGCTTCCCCTGCACGAGCTCATTAAATAATAATTAAACAACCCCTTTATTAGCTCTGGCAGCAGAGAAACATTTTACTGAGCAGGAGACAGCCAAACCAGCGTGTCCCAACGCCCTCTGTGCCCAAGTGACCCTGAGCTGTCCTCCCAAGCAGGGCTGCTCCAGCCAGATAATGCACTGCAGAGAAAATAAACATTATCAGCTCTCATCGGCTCTGCAGTGTCTCAGGAAGGCATTACTGGATTGAAAACCCATATTATTAATATTTTACACCTGCAGAGCTCCTTTCTTTCCAGGCAGGCTCTGTGGTGTGCACAGACAGTCCGGGGGGAACTAGAAAAGCACAAAACACTGTTTGTTTGGGGGTGGGAGGTCACAGCTCCTTGGGAGGGGGAAGAGGAAACTCTCCAGCTGCAGAGGAGCATGAGATACCCCCAAAATGGCCAGGATGAGGGGGGTCCTCACGCCCCATGCCTGGAGAGAGGCAGGGAAAGATGGACATCCCTTCCAGCAGGACTGTCACGCTGGGATATTGCATGAAAGGAGAGCACCATCTATTGACTCCTCTTCCTCAGCACCTCGGTTGGAGCTGCTCTGAGCTGGCACAGCTGCAAGTCCTGCTCCATCCCAGGTCCAGGGTGTTGGCCAGAGAATCTTTATCCCACGGGTCCAAGGTAGCTCCTCGATGTCCCATTGCATCCCCGTGGTCTCCCCAAAAGCTGCACATCCATTCAAGGCCAGGTTGGACAGGGCTTGGGGCAGCCTGGTCTAGTGGAAGGTGTGACACAGCGTGGAACAAGATGAGCTTTAAAATCCCTTCAACCCAAGCCATCCTGTGATTCTAAAACGCCTGTGAACTCCTTGGAAGGGAAGTGTTTCCCCTGCTGCTGTAACCTCGTGTGTCCCAGAGCCATCTCCTGCCTGCTGCTGCCACTTTGTGGCCAAAGCTTTCCCGCAGCTCTTTCGGCTTTTAGGTCCTTGCAAGCCTTTGACCTTCAGATATTTGGACATGCAGACCCCAAGTGCATCCTGGGTGAGTGAAAAGGAGAATTCCTACTAAAATCCAAGCGTTCAGACAGTCCTAGTGACTAAAACTGAGTGGGTGACACGAAGTGCTCAGCCAGGTGAGGGGTGTTAAATCCTCTGGAGGACACAGAGGGAGGACTATTCCTTGGAACACTCAAAAGCAGTCTGCAGGAAATGATAGAAGCACTTATCTTGTGCAGAAAATCTCATGTGTCTGAGGTTATAGATGTCCACAGATGAAGAAATTGAGGCTTCCAGCCTGGAAAAGGCCTCATTAGGAAGCCTATATTTTCCCAGGTTCTGCTGCTTTCTCCAACTCTGCTCTTGGTCCAAGAGTTAAACTGGGACTGCAAAGGAGCAGCTCAGTGCCCTGCATGGGAAATGAGACACATCTCCACTTGTGGGGCTGAGGCTGATCCTCTTCTGCATGTGGGGTTAGGAAAAAAACAGCTGGATTAGGGCTGGGATTTTCCAGCTGGGCTCTGCTGACGTCTCACAGAGGGCCAGCCAAAAGCTGGGACACAAATGTTTGGAATTCTGCAAGGAAGTGTTTGCAGAGCAGGGATTTCAACTGGGTGGCTGAAGGCCACTGGTGGAAATTTTATATATTTTGGGGCTGCTTTGCGAATCCCTGCCTGAATCCTGCCTTTTGACGTGTGTAGGAGCTGCCCTGGGAGCTGTTGGCAGCCCTGGGGATGTCGCTGCTGAGCCCACAAGAGGAAAACCGAACCAGGCTGAACACGTAGTTCCCTTTGCTGTCCTCAGCCACGGGACTTTCCCTCCCGTTCTGAAGAAAGAGGAATCTCGTGGGCTGTGCAAACACAGTGAGAATTATCCTCATTATTCTACTGCTGAGTGTCATCCTGGAATTCTTCTGTATCAGCGGAGGAGGGAAGTTTTGAGGCGGATATTTAACTGGAATTTCAATTCTGGTGAGCAGACAGTGCTAGAGAGACAGGCAGGGGGAGGAATTGCAGCAGGGCTGGGGTTCAACATCTGCAGCAACAGCTGAGAAGGAGCAGGGAGAAATCCTGCCCTAGGTGAGGAGGAAAGGAAAAGAAAGGGAAAAAGTACAACTTTCCCCCACTTTGTTCTTGGGGAACTGCCAGTCCAGTCCCTTGATGGCAGTATTTTGGGACAGCATCACCTGTGAGGTGAGAGATGTCTCCAGTCTCAGAAAACCCTCCAAAATATGAGGATGTTTTTTCTGAATCACACAAAAGGAATAATTTCTCCTGAAAGTTGTATATGACTTGACAACCTTCCAGCTGGGGATTAACACGGAGGCTGCCTGAGCTCAGAGCGTTTCTGTTGCTGCAGAATTGCACCAGATGCACCTTTTGGGGAGTTCTGAGTCTGTTAATGCAATTCATCCCTTGGGAATGTGGGGTTAAAGAGCAAGATTTATGGACAGTGGCCTCTGTGCTTTTAGGAATTCAGTTTAAAAAAAACAGCTGGCAAGTGATGATCCTTCACAGCCCCATCCAGCCATCCCCCCTTGCTGCATGTGCTGGGAATTAACTGGGAGTCCTCAGGGAAATATTCTGCCCTCTGGGAGTGGGGAGGCCCTGGCACAGGTTGCCCAGAGAAGCTGTGGCTGCCCCATCCCTGGGAGTGTCCAAGGCCAGGTTGGAGCAACCTGGGCTAGTGGAAGGTGTCCCTGCCCAGGGCAGGGGTGGAACGAAATGATCCTTAAAGTCCCTCCCAACCCAAACCATTCTGGGATTCTATGAAATAGTATTTGTAATAATGCTCATTCAGAACACACTTTCTAAGGATACCATTAAGGAATAGTTTTCCTTTATACTGGATATTGTGGGCACGAATAGACCCTATTCCACAGAGGTTTTGATTAAGGGGTGTGAGATACCCCAGTGACAGGATTTGCAAAGCACAAGGTAAACTATAATCTCATTTTAGTTTCAGGACAGTGTTTTGACTTGCTACCTACAGAACACTTAATTAGACAGGGATTCCAGGATGGATTATCATTTTCCTGGCTGTATTTGGAGTTGCTTTGGAGAGGAAACTGAGGAATGAACCAGCTGATAAAATACTTCGTTCTGGGAACATCAAGCAGAGCAAAGCCACTGAATGATCACTGCTCACTAGGAGATCTGGAGGTTATGTTTATAAGGTTCACTAGAATCTGAACGTTTGCTTGTACACAGTTTTGAACAGCAAAAATAGTGTGTGAATGTAGTGGTTTCTTTCCCCTGGGAGAAATTTCTCCTGGGTGCTCCAGTAAAAAGGAGCTTTCAGCTCTCTATATATCTGCAGATGTATAAAAAATAAAACAAGGATTCAGATGAAAACTATCCGTAATTTTTTAGGTTCTAACAGAATTTTAAGGCTTCCTGTAATTTGTGCATTTTTTGCTAAT